AAAGTGTGGCGTTATCTACGACAGAGGCTGAGTATATGGCTGTTGCAGAGGCCAGTAAAGAACTAGTTTGGTTGAAGACTTTTCTTAAAGAGTTGGGCAAACAGCAGTCTGATTACTTATTGTACTGTGACAATGAGAGTGCGGTGAAACTTGCTAAAAATCTCGTTTATCATGGCAAGACGAAGCACATCGGGATGAGGTATCACTTTGTGAGGGAATTGATCAGTAATAGAACAATCAAGTTGAAGAACATCTCAGGTGCTAAGAATCCAGCAGATATGTTCACCAAGACAGTGGTGCTGGATAAGCTGAAGCTTTGCATAGCTTCAGCTGGTCTCCTGGAATAGTGTTGAGGAGAGGGGCAACTAGGGAGATGTGAAGATCAAGAAGGGTTTTTCATTTACAGAAGTACAGAGAGAAGCCGCAGTTTGGTCCAAAGACTCCAAGTGGGAGATTGTTGGTGATGTGTAGTCATCGGCCCAAAGTGGCCCACTTATAGACAACTGAGAATTAGGAAACCAGATTAGGGTTTTGGCCGGCCCAAATGGTTTTAAGCCCAGATTGCTATAACTTGTCCAGCAAGGGTTAAACCCTAATTAGTTGTCTATATATATGATCTCCTGTACTTGTAATCATTATCACTCAATAATACAAACCCTAGTTGCCCCTGTGGATGTAGGTCAGATTAGACCGAACCACGTTAAATCTCGTGTTCTCTATTGCTTTCGTGCTTTCTATTTGTGTGTGTGCTTTGTTCTTATCATCTCCAAGACATTACACGTGTTAGAAGAATTGTGCATTAGGCTTCCTGTTTCAAAATCTTTGAGATGTAATTTGTTTATGAACAAATTTCTTTGTGCATTGGGCACGCCGTTCTAAAACCTTTGAGATTTAATTTGTTCAAGAAAAAGTACCTTCTACGCCATCATCTTTGCAAAGTTTTAAAATTTCTCGTAAATTATTCACTTGTAGTTGATCTTAAAATCCAGGTTATAAGTACTGCTAGGACTTGTAATTGCATTTTGATTGTTCTTGATGCAATAAAACCTATCACTCACAAGCGTCTGATAGAGAAAGAGCTTGAAGGATTTGGAATTAGGTAATGCACAATATATCTCCTGTTTGTTTTTTTTGCTTGCTGATTCTGAGATTAATTATTCCTTTTTTGTTTTATGATGATTGCAGGTTAAACAAAGAACCACCTAATTTGACATTTAGGAAGAAGGATAAAGGTGGAATCAATTTGACATCAACAGTTGCCAATACAAACCTTGACCTGGAAACCGTGAAGGCAATATGCAGCGAATATAGAATACACAATGCTGATGTACATCTTCGATATGACGCAACGGCTGATGACCTTATTGATGTCATCGAAGGTAGTAGAGTATATATGCCTTGCATCTATGTTGTAAACAAGATTGATCAGATTACCCTGGAAGAACTGGAGATCCTCGATAAACTTCCTCACTATTGTCCAATCAGGTAATCAATCTTGTATCAGTGATAAGAAGGTTATAGCTTTGTGTAGAAGATGATACGCAGAATTCATTCTGAGTATTAAGCTAAAAGGGAAATCACACTTTTATTAGTCCCTCAAATGTTTGACACTATTTTATACTCCGTAGTATATGTATGTATGTATGTGTGTGTGTATATATATATGTGTGTGTGTGTGTGTGTGTGTGTGTGTGTATATATGATTGAGATAGACCTATTCTCTCACATTCAAACCACCATTTAGTATTAAGGTTTATGAGAACATTATTCACAATGTAGCATGCTAAAATTGCCCACATAAATCATAGAGTAATATTTAAAGGCATAAACAGTGATTTGAACGGGATAGTGTAATTGTATTTAAATCATAACAATTTAGGAATAAATTAACAAATATTGAAAGACATGTACATAATGAACTAATGGCAAACGACTGGAGTCTAAGCTACAATAAAAAATCACTGGAGTCTACAAGGTCAATCTGTGGCTAAGCTAAATGAAGGGAAATTTTGTCTTGATATATTTGCTGCAGTGCTCATCTTGAGTGGAACCTTGATGGCTTACTCGAGAAGATTTGGGAATATCTGAATTTGACCCGTATATATACAAAGCCCAAGGGAATGAATCCAGACTATGAAGATCCTGTAATATTGTCATCAAGGAAAAGGACGATTGAGGACTTCTGCGAACGTATTCACAAAGATATGGCAAAACAATTCAAATAGTAAGTTTTCCCCCGCAAGTTTGTCTTTTACACATCCTATATTCCAACAGATTCATAAGCTACGAGGTGTCACATTTTCCTTCTGGAAATACAATATATAGGGGATCTATAGATCCTTTGTGGTAACTCCTCTATGGGGTTCCTAAAGGGACAATCCCAGTTGATTTGATGTTACTTATCTCAACTTTCTAATCAATCTGATTAGTAACTCCAATAGACTTATACAATAATGCCAAAGCCTTCTGTATAGGACTTTAAGGATATTAGCTTTAACGCCTTTAAAGAAGACTAGCACTTGGGGTCCGTTTGGATTATGGAACACGGAAACGTCTCTTAGTGGCCTGAAGAATTTGACAACTCTAGATCATCCCCGCCTAAGAGGGCTCCCGAACCTTTTTGGGAGGTCAACAACGGATAGAGATTTTTAGACTCTAATTCTGTTCTTTCCCATCTGGTGTACCAAAGAAGGGAGTTCGTTTGGGGGCCAAAAAATACTAAGGGAAGAATGTATGTTGTGGAAATTATAGAGAGTTTGTTTGGGGCCCAGAAAAGAGAGCTCGTTTATAGAGAAATTAATGGGAAGCAAAGAAAATTTGGGAGGAAATAAAAGATAGACTCTTACCTTCGTCATTTCTAGGAAAACTGAGTATGTTGTGGCATACTTGTTATTATTTTATTTTTATTATAGAATGACTAAGAAATGGGGGTGTGCGTTTTTTTTAGTTAATTGTGTTTTGATTACGGTGAAGCCAGACATATATATTAAAATAATGTCCCTTCGACTTTGAATTTACTGAAAGAATTTATGGGTGATTGCTGCAGTGCCCTGGTTTGGGGTTCAAGTGTAAAGCACAAGCCACAAAGAGTCGGAAAGGTCAGTTCTCGCTGAAATGTTTCATCTTCTACCTTATAATAAATAAATGAAGAAACATTTATTGACTTGTGTCTCATTTACTAGGAGCATGAACTGGAGGATGAAGATGTTGTCCAAATTATCAAAAAGGTTTAGTTTTAGTGACTTGCAGGTGCACCTTGTGTACGTGCTCTTGCAGGGAGGATTCCCTGTTGCTTCAGTACGTTCCCGAGTTTTTTTTGGTACTATATTATTCTACTGTCTTCATCTTCTTCCAGACAGTGCTAGGCTAAGCTACGAACTGCATTCTTTGTTCTTAATAGGAGTATTAATTAATAGATTTTTGTTGTTGCATTATCTATCATTTCTTTTGTTATTATAGGGGCATTATACTGAGTTTTCTTGAGGAAAAAAAAATATATCTGCGTCTTTGAATTTCTTTGTGGCTTAATCATTGTGTCATATATTGGTTAAAGATTTGCAACATGGTTGTCATATAAGTTATTGTTTAATTTATCATGCATTTATCTATGTGTTTTTGCAACATTTCATAAATATGTTTATCTCTATGTGATTTTGCCAAAGATCGGGTTCAATTGTACCAAGGTGACTCCTTCAAGCGGGAGGTCACGGGTTCAATTCCCAGTAGAAGTTATAACTCTTGATGCTTCAATATGTTGGAAAAGTATGTAAAAATAGATACTACAATTGTAATAGTAGTTACTCTGTATTATTGCAAAAAAACAATTATACTCTGTATTTAATCTTAGTTTCTTAGATTATTTTATTAAGTGAATGTTTACAATTGAATATTTTTTTATCATGAGTAATTAAGTTTTTGCTTATTAACTTATTAATTATGAGTAAGGTCCTGTTGAAACTCGCCGACGGTGCCACTATATTTTTTTGAAGTACTTCTGGTGCTTTGCTCACAAGGTAACATGCAAATTATTATTATTACTCAAATCAAACCAATACATCAATGTCAAATGCTTAACCATGATAATGGTTACACGCATTAAAAGACCGTTACAATCCCAAATTAAAATACAAATAAGCTAAACATTACAAGCCAAACACAGTTACAAATGAGAGCCACAAGAGGAAAAGTTTACAAATACAGTTCTAACATGAGAGCACATTAACCATACAGTGGAGTCACACATGAATTTTCAATAATCTTCAATAGTGTCTATTAGTGCCAGCATTTCCAAGAAAGAGCTACAGTAGTCCAGCATCAACGTTATTTGTTTAGCCGATAACAACATCCAAATGTGTGGCTATTATGTATATTAACGATGGTTCTTAGCTCAACTTCCTCACAAACTTGATGGTGCTTTGCTCACAAACTTGATGGTTCTTAGCTCAACTTACTACCCCTCCTTCAACCCCTAGCTGTGCTCCCCACTAAGCCCTCCTCAAATGTGTGGCTATTATGTATATTAACGACACATTTGGAGGAAATTTAGAAAGGGGCTATGTAGTGGGTTTAAATGGAGGATTAGGCAAATAAGAACCATCAAGTTTGTGAATGGAGCACTGAAAATATTCTAAAAACGCGCCGTGAACGATGTAAATAGAACCATACTCGTTTATAAAATGACTAAAATAAAATGGCAAAGAGAGGCTACGTGAGTAACTTTTACTTCTATTTTGTATCTACTCCTATTATTAATGCGTAGGATATGCATAGATGGCCGGGAGGTGTGCAAGGTGCCTCCACCACAAGACTCCTAAATTTTTAGAGTCTAATATTGTTTAATATTTATTAATTTAATTACTTTATATTTTTAAATTTAATATAAATTTATATTTTATTATTTAAATTGTTATAAAAGTAGTTATTAAAAATCAAATTTAACACTAATTTCAAAGAACAAATACTCTAAAAATGAAATAGGACCCAACATGTGATTTTAGCACAGGGCCAATCTCAATTTTTTATATTTCTGGGCCGGTCTTGACCCTATGAAAGATCCTCTATCGTAAGTAAATAAAGGATACAAATACATCTACACGATAATTTTTATAGAATCAAACCCGCTAAAAGTTTGCAGGTATCATTTGGATTCGGGTCCAGACCCGACATATTGAGAGGCCTATACCAATCGATAGACTTTAGATCAAACAATCATATATAATCATTGCATTCATGGAATTAGCAAAAACAATTCATTAGGCTTCTAACCTCTAAATACTTCTTCCATTTTATCATATCATCCTTAAAACAAAAGAAAATACAATAGAAATCTTTGAGATACATCAATCAACTTCAAGCCTTGACGCAGCAGTTGAAATAGCTTAGGATGCTGCTTCTCCTTGTCTGCAGTTCAAACCACAAAACACAAACCAATAAGAGACACCATATTGCTATTCGTTAATTATTGGTACTAGTATCTATTGGAAATACACAAATTAAGGTCATTTTAAACTTTGTTATTTGTTGATTTGACTAAATTTAACCCACTCAATTTGTTTGGCACAATATTCATGAAAAACATCAAACTTTATTAAAATTGGGTTCTTTTTATTAAAAAAAAATTCTGTTTAGTTCTCTAGGACATAGCAAGTTACCAAAGGACCTTTTTTATTAGTACTCCCTCCGTCCCTAAATAGATTACAATCTTTTTTTCTCTCTCCTCTCGATAACTTTTGTTTGTTTACGCAATTTCATCAAGTATTTGATAAAATAAAATATTCTTTTCACCTCTTGTTTTGTAGAACTTTTGACTTAGTTTTTTAATATGTAATTTTTATAACTTATTGATATACCAATTTGTAAATAAAATGATTTCAAAAAGTAAGAAATTTTACTCCGTAACCCGCAATTTGTAATCAAATTGGGGACGGAGGGAGTATAAAAAAGGACTCTTTTTTGGTATAGAAAGAGAAAATATAAAAAAATAAATTATAGCCCGGAGTAAAAGGAAATGTTATCTACCACAAGAGCAAGGCCTATACATATACTTTTGCATGTGCCCCCGCCCCCAGCTTTGAGTAGAGACTTAACACACAGAACCTTTTTAAGGAATGAGAAAGATTAAAAGCTACTTTTCCTGTTAGCTTTTCTATTCATCATTCTTTTATCTTTCTTTATTCATTCAATGAAAGAAGAAAACTCTTTTTTTTGCTGAACCATAAAAGAAAATTGCAATATTTTACCTTGTTTAAAATATGATTATTTTAAATGAATTGAGCTGAAAATCTATTCATTGGTACTCCCTCCATTCCACAAAAATTATCCATTAAATGAATGTAGACTTGGGTATGTCTACATTCATTCAAAATCAATGCATCTAATCAACCTTAATAGATAGTTATTGTGGATTGGAGTGAGCAATTGATATGAGGAAGCACCAATATACTACCTCCGTCCGAAAATGTTCTTTCCATTTGACTTTTCACAGTTTCCAATATTGTGATTTAACCATTAATATCTATATGTATACATAGATATATTTTATAAAAATTTGATATTTGAAAACTACGTTTCATTTTGAATATATTGATATTAAAATTATATCATAATACAATGTGTTTTTTCAACAAATCATAGTCAAAGTTTACAAACTTTGACCAAGAAAAGTCAAATGTGAGGAACACTTCCGGACGGAGGGAGTACTAATTAATGCCACTAGTCAGACACATCATTTATTAGATGCATTAACTCTCTGTTGCTGCTGCATTGTATGTGGTGGTCAATGCAAGGACCACACTAAACTAGGAACAGTTCATTAAAAGGGCAACTCAAGTGTCTTAAGGCTAATAACAAACTGAAGTGTCTTACAGTTGGAGAGCCGTTTTGATGGTAATGGCGGTCGGTCTTGAGGCGGCTGACGCCCACCGCGGTGGCGGAGGAGGAGGAGGAGGAAATGAGCTCATCCTCATTTCCGATGCTCGCCCTCGACACCTCCCTCTTGTTCTGCTTCCTCATTTCTCTGATTTTAGAGAAATCCATTGAGTAGTTTGGGATGGTTCCTCCCTTCTGGTCCCAGTCACCAAACTGTGGGACAGATAGCCATGCCCCCACATTATTCTTCTGCACCATATATATATGAATATTGAGTAAACTGATCCTTTTCCACAAGCCAATTTCAATCTGTTGGGGAATTCAAACTATCCCCAAATACTACTTTTTTTAAAATATATGGGATAATACTAGAAAAATATGGCTTACCAAACATTCCTCTAATAAGAAATCTCACGATTTACTTTCTTTACCAACATTTAGAGCTTATTCTCTTCAACTTATTTTTATTATTTATCTTATTGGAATCGGACTACATGATAAACAACTTTAAATATAACTGCAATCAGATCAGAAACAAATTACAAATATAATTACAGTTACATCAAATCAAACCAAAACATATTTCAGTCAAATCAGAACCAATCACAAAAGAAGGGTGGGGCCTCAATATTGGGTGCCAAACTTATTTTAGTAAATTAAGGCCCCGTTTGGTTTGAACCAAGCCAGCCTAAATCATAATCATGAATGCCAGACTAAACATGACACAAGTGTGTACCAAAAAAATCATAAATATTTTCCCAACTAATTGATAAATCTGTTGAACAAATAAAGCCAGAGGTCCCACACTTTCTTTTTCTTTTCTTTTTATTTTATCACAACTTGCAGGCAGGACAGTTTAGGTGGGAAACAATAGAAACTGGTTCTGCAGATTATTTAGACTGATTTGTGTAGTCATTGTTTCCATGTTTTTGTCACATATGGTTTCAGACTTCTAAATGCATAATCAGAATATGCATATGACCTGGTGCCTATGCAATTTATGACTTTCAAGACTTTTCAATTTTATGGGGAAAAAAATAAGCATTTCTTTAGGAACTTACCAAAACTCAATGAATTTTCCAGGGCATTTTTTCCAGAAAAGAAATCATTTTTGGGGGTTTCATTTCCTTTGACTGTGAGGACCATCATGGTTCAAAATAAGTTATTTAATGCCCCATAGATGAAGAAAACATGGGAAAACAAAACTTTAATAGATTAGACAAAATCCTTTGCAAACAATGATTGAATATATTCTAATATGAGTCATATGACCAAAAAAGTACTCAATCAGATAAAATATCTTAGCAGTCCAAGCACAAAAAACCCTAAGTGAAGCTGGTAAAACTGTAAAAGTCAAAAAAATAAAAGGTAAACTAAGAGACCCAAGAAAAGATTTTTATACTCTAACAGAGCAGGAAAATAGAAAATTACTTCATGGTAAGAATCAATAACCAACACCAGAAAGGGGAAAGGGAATGAGAGAGATGATGGGTGAGAAAAGCAAAGAAATTGGGATATTATATTGATTTTTACCTCCTGATGTGCCTCCATGTTTGCGTTCTTGTTGCTGCAAAATGCAAAAATAAAATGGGTGATAATATTGGGGATTTATTTATTTATATGGAGGAGTACTGTGAGAGAGATAGAGAGGCGATGGGTGCCGCCTCTGCTTACGTGTTTACTACGGAAATGACACGTTGTTTAGCTGTTGTTGTCTTCATTTATTTGGAACTCCTGATACAATTTAGATTTAACATTTTGAAAACATAATACTCTTTAGATACCATTTAAATTATACTCCATCCGTCCCCCTAAGATGTTCTCATTTTGACTTTTGGTGGTTTTTAAGGAGAGTTGAAAAAAGGTGAAAGTTTACCATAACACCCTTAATGAAATGGGTGGAGTGTATTAAATGAGGTGGATGAGGTGTAATAAATAAAGTAAGTGGGGGTAGTTGTGGTATTTTAATTGTTAAAAAATGAAATGAGAAGATCTATTGTGGACACAGAAAAAGGGCTATTGGGAAGATCTATGGGGGACAGAGAGAGTACAGAGTATTCAAAATGTTTATACTAATTGAAAAAGTATTCCAACAAAGTCTCAGTCTTTTACATAAAAATCACGTTATTACACCGCTAAACTTCACTCTTAGTCCTTTAACTTTATCAATTGTGCACAATTGGTCCTTCAAGTTTTAAAAGTCCATAAATAGTCCTTCAACTTTATGAGTTATGCACGATTGGTCCTTCAAGTTTTAAAAGTCCATAAATAATCCTTCAAGTACACGTTAGCCCTCTAGATGAGGTCCTTTTGACAGTAAATATTAAAAATTAATGGAATACTAGTTCCATATAATACGGAGTAATCATACCTACTGGAATTTACTTGTATTATATGAAACTAGTATTTCGTTTAACTTTTGATACTTACTGTCAAAAGAACTTCATCTGGAGGGCTGACGTGTACCTGAAGGACTACTTATGGATTTTTGAAATTTGAAGGACCAATGGTACAGAACTAATAAAGTTGAAGGACTATTTATGAACTTTTGAAACTTAAAGGACCAATCGTGCACAACTGATAAAGTTGAAGGACCAATGGTGGATTTTAGCCTTATTTCACCTATGCTATATATATATATATATATATATATATATATATATATATATATATATATTCTCTTCACCTGATATGAATGGTCCTGATCTAAATTGAATAAGTCCTGATCTGATTTCATCTGAATATAATTTTATTTAAACATGTTTCAAATCTAATCTAATGATGAATAAGAATAAATTGAAGAGAAGATGATCTCAAACTCATATGAAGTTGATGTATTCAAAGTTGAAACAATTTCTTTTTTTTATTCAATTAATTCATTCTCATCACTTTTTTCTTTTATTGATTATCCTGAACTCTTAGTGTTGATGCTTACTTAGTTTTACTATAGATGATATAAACATTATCTTAGCATGTTAATTTATATTTACCTATTATATAAAACAAATTACGATGATGATTGTGATTGAGGGAGTATCTTTTAAATTTGGATGATTTAATGCATTCCATTTTGGACGATGATTAATTAAAATTACTTTCAAATTAAATTATTTGAACATTGACATAAAATTAAAAATACTCCGTAATTGTTAAAATAGAGAAGGAATTGCCAAAAAATATTGTGTTTTTAAACCATGAACACGGATTAAGCTAGCTAGTGTTAACTGTTAACTCATGTGCGACTCTAATGAGATTGTCCCCCCTTTTTTGTAAAATGCTTAAAAATGTTACTTCTTTCGTTGTATACAGATTTTGAGTAAATTTATAAAATCGTACAAAAATAACTATGTAATTTCACAAATAAGTCTCCAAAATTAACTTATTCTTAAGATGGTGCTCGTTAATTAAAGATAATGCTCATTCCAGTCCCCCAAGTAACGGTCGTCAAAATAGCATTGAAACAACGTTAGACCTTATACTCATTTCAAAATTTGACGTTAAACATAGGATGACGATATAATACTAAAAACTATTAATTATAGAAAAATATGAAAAATTAAATATGGAAAATTTTCGATGTTAAACATTAGTTATGGAAAAATATTTTAAATTTTATAAGATGACAATATAATACTTAAAACTATAAATATAATTTTATAAATTTAATTTTAGTATTATATTATTATCCTATAAAATTTAAAATATTTTTTCATAATTAATTTATTATTATTTCGAAAATGGACCAATTTGAGAAAAACACCCAATTAGAAAGTATCATTTTTAGAAAAGTAGTATAAAGTTTAACGTCTTTTTAACGATATCTTAATGGTCGTTAGTCTGGGGGACTGAACTAAACATTATTCTAAATCACCGAGTACCATTTCGGAAATTAGTTAGTTTTGATTGTTAGACAATAATACTAATAGTACTTCTTGTAGTATTAGTTATGGTAGTGTTTCATTATTAGTCAGCTTCCTAATCCTATTTGTGGTAGATGTTGTATGTTAGTTAGTTTCCATTCTCTATTCCTAGTTGTGTTAGGAGTCTCTCCTATATATACTCTATCATGTACTTCATAATTCAATGAGCAATATAATTATTCCAATATTTCAACATGGTATCAGAGACATCGCTCTTGGTGACCTAAAAGAGTTAATTGCTTTAGCCGCCGCTGCCGGTAATTCCGGCGACGGCGTCTCCACCTTATTCACATCTAGTTTTTTCCCTTCTTTTATTTTCAAATTAACTTCTCCATTCAAAAAAAAGAAAAAAATTCCCGTGTTGAAATCACAAAAAAAGCCGTCATAGGAGGAGCTTCCCTCTTGTCATCTCCATGGTTCTTAAAAAAAAATCCCAAACTCCTCACAAACTCTCTCGATCAACTCATCTTTTCTTCTCCAAAAAAAAAAGAAAAAATGATTGTTGTTTCTCTCCAATTCACCATATCAAAATCTCAGACCCAATTTTTTTTCCATCACCAATTCTTAACCTACTTTTTCTCTCTAAAATCACTCATTCCACCTCTCTTCTCTTTCTCTTTTGTTGAACCATTAAAAATCCAAAGTAAATCAGCAAAAAAAGCAAAGCCAAGAGGGGAAGTAGTGAAAGAGGAAATAAAACCTCTACAACTCACCCCTTTAAGAAGGAAATAGGGCATTGCTCGGATCCAAGAAAAAGACAAAAAATGTCAAGGATCTTCAGTCAAACAGGCACCTCAAGTAGCTTTCTCTATTCTTCTTCGACGTCAGCAGCTACAAGTGCACGTCAACCTTCTCTCTTCTTCATTGACGTCAGCAGCTACTAGCGCACGTCAATTTCTCTCTTCTCCAACGACGTTAGCAGCTACCAGTGCACATCAGACTTCTCTCTTTTCCAACGACATCAGCAGCCAGGGCGCACGTTAGGCTTCTCTCTTCTTCAACGACGTCAGCAGCCACCGGCGCATGTCAGACTTATCTCTTCTCAAAGTTTCCAGTTTCTAGCTAGTGTCCAAGCTTCCTCTTGCTTCAGCCAGAGTTCAGCTTGAGGGGGGATGTTAGACAATAATACTAATAGTACTTCTTGTAGTATTAGTTATGGTAGTGTTTCATTATTAGTCAGCTTCCTAATCCTATTTGTGGTAGATGTTGTATGTTAGTTAGTTTCCATTCTCTATTCCTAGTTGTGTTAGGAGTCTCTCCTATATATACTCTATCATGTACTTCATAATTCAATGAGCAATATTATTATTCCAATATTTCAACATTGATAACTAATTTGGGAAGACACATAGTTATTTAGTACCATTCTAAAAATTTACTCAAAAAAATTTATATCTTTTTTTCGTCGCATCCAAAAAAATGCTTGCATTTACTTAATTTTATATTTTTACAATGAATATGCAACTCGCATTACTTTCATCCAACCGAACTTTAATTATATATTTTTTAGATTTAACATTTTCTCATAAATTTCGTAAAAGTGGAATTACGTATAAAGAATGTTATTGTTCATTGTCCACATTCATTATTAAAGGAAAACCGCAAACTTAATATTCACTTGTTCAAAAATAATATTTTTATTATTTGATAAAATATACTCCGTATATTTTTTCAAATCTAATCTTATTTTATAAAATTTTTATTCAATTTTTAAAATTATGTTTTCTATTTTTAATTCTACAAAACTTTCAAATAATTGTAATGAAAAAAAATTAAATACTGCGTAAAAAGTAGAGCGAATATCAAACTTTATTCTAAGGAGTACTTCGTATTTGTTGCCAACGAGAGGATTATAGCTCGCTCTTAGCTGTGTCAACGCGTTTTTAATTTCCTCCTGGGTCTTCTACATTTCATTACTTTTACTCCATCCCCAAAATATTGCCGCTCTTAAACCATTTGTTACGCCATGGTAGGAGTTTGGCGGGTTCAGGGCCGGTCCTAACATTTTTTGGGTCTTAGGCCAATTAAAAAAATTTGGCTTCTAAAATTTTTTTTAAGAAGAGTAATATCACTTGATAAATTAAAATAATTGGCTGCAACATGTTATTATTATACTACATATATTTACTTAAAATTGAAAATTTAAAACTCTAAGTTGATTGTTTTTTACAATAATATGTTACTAATACTATTAGAGAAAAATAATTATGGCCCCCCTTGTGAAATGGGCCCTAAGCCATATAGCCCCGACACGATACCGAGACCGAGACCCAATGGATCCAAATCTAGAATTAAATTTCAAGACTCATCAGGTTAACGGGTACGAGTCAGGATAAAGTTTTTTAAAAGGGTACAGACATAGAATACAATGAACCGGCCCTGGTCCTATCCATTAAAAGGCCTAGGGTCAGTACCTTTTAACGTTAACATTTTTATAATTAATAAGCACTATGAAAATTTTATCTAAAAAGCTAGCACCAGCCGAAAACACCGTTTTCCAAACAAGGCCATCCTTTAAATTACTCCATTTAACACTTTTTTAAAAATTTGTTTGTAAGGACCACGTGATAATTAACTTGTCCGGGTCGGGGATATGGGTCTAAACCCAAGAAGCAACGGGAATAAGGATTGAGGGCAAATACTCCTTCACTCTTCTTCAAAAACAAAAACAAGGAGGGAAATTTTTGAGGGAAGAATGTGAATTGATACAAGTACCTAAGCACGCTTAATCTGTTCAGTCTATACTCCACACGGAAATGGCTCCTTCTACACCTCCTGATGGCTTTCGCTGCACTTCTGGTGATTTCATTTTCTATACTCCATATTGTTTTTTTTTCATGAAGTTCAAATTCATCGCGCGAATGATTCCGAAGCCGGCGAATCACCGATCGATAGCCTTAGTTGATGCGTTCCTTAATTTTCGGAAGATAATTCTTATTAATGTTTTCTCTGCAAAGCACGATGCTGCGTTATAATTTATAAATGCTCCGTTTGTATGTGGCAAACAGTTTAAGCATCGGTTTGAATGATTGTGTAATACTGTATTGCATTGAGAAATCTGTGGACGATTTGATTAGCTCTGAGTATTGATAATTAATGCTTACTGTAATTTGTGCTTTTGATTTATTGAGTCTGACAGATGAAGATGATACTTCGTTGATTATTTACAGTATGAGATATTGCTCTTCACATGATACTGTATTTTGATTTTATAATTAGTTTAGTTCATGCCTATTACAGTGTAGAAGAAGCTATATACGTTGTGCCAATTGTAAAACCTATGGGCTTAAACAAAGTGTGTGTGTGTGTGTGTGTGTGTGTGTGTGTTCTTATCTAGTATTTGAGCTGGGCTTTTTAATGTCATCTGATTCACAGATCTAATCTCAATGTGCTGCCTTGTGGTTATTCCTGTATTATTCTTGGCTTCTTACGCATTTAGATTTCAGTTTGTATCCTTCACATTAGAACTTGAAAGACTGACCAATTCTGCTAACTGCAGTAGTCAATAGCCATCTTACTGTGGCCGTCTCAACAAGGGTAGTGAAAGTTTCAATGTGATATCTGGCTTGCTTCTGAGTATAACATCCAATAACATGTATACCCTTATACATTTCCAAGTTTCAAGATACCCTTCTGATTTGTGTTTCACTTTATGAGCTCCATTACAACTAATGAGTTTCTTACCCTTTAAGAAGATAAAACAACTCCCAAGTCTTTTTGTTTTCAAATGCTTTGATCTCTAATGTCATTGCCTCTTACGATTTAGGTTTGACTACAACATTTTCTTCTTATTCTTTTTCTTCAAACAAAAACCATAGCCTCTTCATGCGAAAGTCTTTCACTCACATGATTTGAAGTGTAAATGCTGATCTTGGCTTTATATGACACTGGACTGTTTGTAAGCTGACAAAACGTAGTTTTTGTGCTTGGAAAAAATAATAACTCTTTATTCCATTTTGTTTCATAGGCTATTTGAGAAAGAATTTCGAGGTCCAAGAGAAATTAGGTAAATCAGATTTCAGTTCGTAAATAAATTTTTTATCATTTCGGAACAGTTAACTCTTATTCCTATTTTTATCTTACAGGGGCAGGTGGTTTTGCACATGTTTACAAGTGCAAAAACCTAGTAGACGATGGTACTTATGCTCTTAAAGTAGTGCCTTTTAGGGCAGAGAGTTATGAAGATACACGCCGCGAAGCAATTATCAATGCTCGTCTTCAAGGCCCACATATCACGCGATACTATCAAGTTAGTGTTTGAAATTTTGGAAAATAACACACATTGAGCATTAATCATGACACAACAAACTAACTCCTTTAAACACTTTTTTCATGTTTGTCCATGCAGGCTTGGATTGAGGACGGTGCCTCCTGGCCCGGAAAGTTATGTTGGTCATCTGATAGCGACACAGCTTCTGACACTGAGACGAGTACACCGGAGTACATCTTTTACGTACTCACGGAGCTGTGTCTTGGGTATTCAATTTTCTATGTTACATTTGTAATACCAAAGTATGTAATAATATGTGCTTTTATTGAATTTTGTTGCCTGTTAAATGTTTGGCTTGTTTTGTGTAGGGATTTGAACAGTTTTTTGGCCGAAAACTCCCTAGACCAGGCAGAGAAGTTTCGGATATTTGGAGAAATTGTTAGTGGTGTGTCCCACATTCATGACAAAGATATTGTCCATCGAGATCTCTCCACTCAGAATATATTTTTTGATGGATACAGAAAAATGAAAATTGGCGATTTTGGTTTAGGTTAGTCTAAAAAATTTCATGTAGATTCTCTCTTTCATCTATTTATTTGTTTTTTTAACAGAAAGTACTCCATTTCAATACCCAAACACCACTCAAGGTTTACAAGAGATGACAAGGAAAACAGCCCTTCAAGCTACCAAAACAGTTTCCCTAAGTTTATTATTAATATAAAAACTAGATTGGTCCTCGATATAGTCACAACAATCTTAAATTGTCCTCCAGCTCTTCTGATGCAAGATGGCATTCCTTGCGTTACAATTGGCATAACTCACACCTGCCCAAATTGTTAACATCATCTTCTTGCGTTGCCTTTTCCCAATGCTGAGTAGTTTCCTGCAGTGCTCATCAATACTCTTAGCATCATTACTGTATTGTACCCATGTAGCTATTCTTTTCCAAGCCTCCTTAGAGAATGTACATTCCCAAAACAGATGATCAATCCCTTCTCCTCCATCATCTCACAGCATGCAGTTCAGGTCAATGCTCATGAATTCAGAGTCTGTTTTTGTTCAACAGCCTCTTAGCCAGCAGATAAGGGGGATTTCTTTCCCCTAGAAGCCACTTATAACCTTCACTGGAATCATATCTTCCACTACTATTCATGCCAGAAAAGTTATTCCTCACTTTTACTATTTTCTTCCAATAATAGCAAGAGGCATAACCTGATGTATAGTCCCATATGTTAGATGTTTTGATATATCCGTTGTGAATCCATATACCCATAAAATGTCTTCCTTATCAGCTACTGCTCACAACAGCTTCATAATATTAGCCTTAGTCCAAAGCACTAAATTTTTAAGACCAAGCCCTACGTTGCTTCTTTGGTGTACACACATCCTCCCACTTCACAAGCGGACTTCTTGTAAAAACATCACCCCCACCCACCCACACGCACAAACTTCCCACAAACTGCCTGTATCCTTCTCACCGCTTTACTTGGGAGAACAGATATCCAAGTCCAAAAGAACACCACTCCCATTAGGACAAGATTAATGAGTTTAATCTCCTACATGCATAAGATAGATTCTTACTTTTTCTAAATTATTTGTTCAAGCATTTTCCATTTGTTTTTGCAGCTGGAGTTTTGAATGCAGAAGGTGTCTTTGAAACGTCTGCGTCATTGGGCAATTTGATATACATGGCACCAGAGATAAAAAAGGACAGCATTGCATTAAAAAAGTCGAACATTTACAGTTTGGGGATCATCTGTTTTGAGATTTTTTCTGATTTTGAATCTATATCTGAAAGGTATAGAGAAATACAGAACCTAAAAATGAACACAAAGGATGCAACGGGCTGGTTAAAAAGTCTCTGGTCATCATTGATGTCAATGCTGGACGAGAACCCTTCGGAACGTCCCAGTGCAGAAAGGATTCTTGCTCTATTGCAAGCAAAGGGAGATTATTAGGCTTGCATCAGGTGCCTTCCATCTTCTTCAACTTAGAAAGCATATTTGTGTTGCTTAGTTGACAATAGAAGTAATATAAAACATGAATTAACAAGAAGGGCATATAATTTTCACGAAGAGAGGATCAAAGAGAGATTAGTACTATCCTCTTGCTCACACCCACACTTTAAATTTCATGCTACCAACCCAAACCAATTTGGATTAAGGTGCTTGTGATTTATGAAGATATAAATATGTGGTCTGTTTTCTATAAAGAAAATAGTTAAAATAATAATAAGAATAACAAAGTACTCACTCATGACACATTACAAGGTACACTGTTGTCGTGATCGTGATATAGTCAATGAACAGACTGTGAAAACAGTCTTTATACATATGGTCAGTTTTTTAATAAAGAAAATAGTAGGAAAAAAACAATGTGCGCACTCATAAGACTTTACAGGGTACAGTGCTGTCGTTAATAGTCATTGAACAGAATAAGAAAACAGTCTATTAGTAGATGTGCTAAATTAAGTATGTATTGTCATTGTTTCACACTAAATTTACTAGTTTAAATACTCCGTATGTGTGTAATCCTTCTAGTGTTCTTTGTCTCCACAAAGGTAACACTGCCTTTATTCCTTGATGATAAAGGCTTTGTATTTTTAAGGTAGATGGGGGGGGGGGGGGGGGGGGGNGGGGGCGGTTGGGCTTGGCCTTACCTTTGTCTTTATCCTACTTCATGTTTTCCATCCATCGTGGACCTTCATGATGAATTTATTCTCTCCTTTATTGATGTCATGCTTAGGTAGAATCATGTCAAGGTCATGAGATAACCGGTCGAAAAATCCGAGAACGGTTGTAGGATGACATAGATGACTAAATCTTTACTGAGTAGGCGTTCACGTGTCTCCCCGTAACCATCCATTTGGAGAACACGAGAACAAATTTGCCTTTCCTTTGGAAAGCTTGGTAAGAACTAAGAAAGAATAGTTTGTAGGCTTGGAACCCATCATTCACAAACAGCTCTTGGTAGAGTTGTCTTGGGTGTTCGATCATATCTTACGCTTCCATGTGCAATGCTATTATGGAATCATAGCAAATATGGTTCCTCTTGGTAGAGTAGTCTTAGACGTTTTTGCATTTTCTTTAATCAATACAAAGTATACCATTAGTGCATGGTGCATCCCTTCATCAAAGTGAAGAGGTAGCCAATGTGGTGCTTTCGTCAAAAGTTGTTTTGGGTACCCTAACATTATTTGTATGCCTGTTTCTTATTTCTTTCCTTTCATTTCTTTGTAAATTGTTGCAGGATGGACATTTGGAGGCTGCTCATACTATCAAAGGAGTATGATTCACTATGACTTTTTTATCCGTGCTAAACAAATGTTCAAGCCACAATGGTTGTACTTTCGTGTCATTTCATACGGTCTTATGCTTTATTCACTTAGCTTTTATGATATCTTCTTCCGGATCATATTGAGGGTAAATTTGAACTGAGTGTACAATGGATCTCTTTTTACACCATACAAAAATATCATAGGCCGTGAATATGAAGGAAATCAAATGTGTGCTTGGTAGTTCGACGGTGATAGATAATGGAGTACTACGTAATTGAGGGAATGATTTCTATGATAGTGCGGATAGCGAAATATGTGCACTATCCTCCCTCCCCCGTCCCAAAATAAAATTTTGATAAAAAGTATTAAAAAAAGTCGTTGAAAATTACACTCTCCCTGTCTCATTCAGACAAAACAATTTACAATATTTGACTAAAGTTGTTTTTAAATTATTATTTTTATTAAAAATCAAACTTTCTATAATATAAATTGCGTCAAAAAATTTATAAAAACAAAGGTGACATGACTATGCTACTTTATCAAATAATAGTTGAAACACTTTATAAACTAGTATTAACTCCGTGCTTCGCACGGGCTCGTAAACATTCTTAAATTTTAACATTCTAAATTTTATTTTCATTACTCATTTGATAAAATAATATATTCATGTCACCTATAGATTTTGTAAACTTTTGATGCAATTTTAAATATAAGAGTTTTATTTTTAAATTTTACACTTAATCAAACAAATTAAATTTAAATTAACTTCGGTCAAATCTCGTAAATTGAGTAGTTTTAAGACAAAGGGTGTATAATAAAATAAATCTTAAGTTTTAAACTATATGTTATATAGTTAAAAAAGATGCATATGTAATAGAGTCAATAGCACTCAAAAAAAGATGCATATGTGATAAATTAATGAAATTGTTTTTTAGAAGTAATAAAAATATAAATTCTGGATAGTTTAACAAGTATATGTACTATGTTGATTTTTTATTTAATAAGGTTGTATAACTTTTTAAAATAATGATTTTATGATGCATATATTTAAGTGTAGAAAATTTTTTTTTTTTGTAAAATGGTTATAAAGTAACGGGTTTATAACAATAATGGTTATTTAGTGTTAGGAAGTGATACACGCACCCTCTAGTGTTAGAAATTGATACACACACTATTACTTTTTTGGAAAAATAAAAACCTTTGGCACAATATTTTAATACTTACAAAAATTATTTATATAATAGTCGAAGCATAATAAAAATACAAATGAATTAAAAAAGAGTTTTCTAAATAAATATTTTTCAAAAAAACTTATTTTCTAATTTTTAAAAAAATTTGTTTTGTTTTCATGATATATGTGACTCTTGAACATTTAAAATCCTATATTTATTACTTTATACATTTATTGAATTTTAATATTTTTATTTAGTAATTTATAATATCAATGAGCTTATTATACGTGACATTTAAATGGATAACCAGACAATATCATATCGGAAATATTGCAAAACTATGAACGTAACTACAACTAAATATTGAAAAATGTTACATACTTTTGATGTCTTGTAAATAAAGGCATAAATGTTAGTTTAATTGATGAAAAAATAGAGAATAACAAATGACATTTTTTGAAGAAGAATTAGATTTAATAATGATGCACATGTGTTAAATATTTTATAAATTTTATTTATGGAAAGTAAAAGAGAAGAATAAAATGGTGAGCACTCATAAAAAATAATATAAAGCTTTGTTTTCTACAAATAGTAATGTTTAAACCATATAATAATTAAATTTAAAATAATACTAGTAATAAAGTTTTTAATGGTGGAATACAAAAGTTAGAAAATGAAGAGATGTTAAAATAATGATTGTATAGTTGTATCTTTTCATATTCTTTACATTGATTATTATCTCATTTTTTGTAACAATTAAATATTTTTGTTTTACACAATGCAATGATGTGGCATGGTAGGTGGCAATCAAAGGGTGACATGGCCTGAACATGTTGTAATCACAACTAATCCGCTCAACTTTATAAATATATACTAGTATTAACCCCGTGCTTCGCACGGGCTCGTAAATATTTTAAAATTTTAACATTCTACTTTTTATTTTTATATATATTACTCATTTGATAAAATAATATACTCATGTCATCTATATTTTTTTTAACTTTTGATGAAGTTTTAAATATAAAAGTTTTATTATTAAATTTGACACTTAATCAAACTAATTGAATTTAAAATAACTTCAGTCAAATCCTCTATCGGAAAATTTATTGAACTACTCCAAAGTCATTTACTTCAACTCTCACTTTTTTAGATTTGATAATATTATTTGGATAAACATGAATGGACTCGAATTAATTTTTCCATATATATGAAAAATTTACAAACTTTAATTAATCAATATGCTTAATTAATTTTAAAAAGTATGAACGAATGCTACTCTGTATATTTTAATATAGTTAATAGCAGTCAAAAAAATCATTTTAGTGGTAATAATAATTCTTTTTTCCATTCAAATGTTTATTCATGTATTTTCTAGGACTTTTTTTCATGGCGTTATAAAATGAATATTTTTTTCTAAATAATACTCCGCAATAATTAGTAATTAAAAAACTATTTCTTTTTTATTGATTTTTTTAGATCAGTGGAACAATATATTTTTCCAAACACATAAATTTATCACAATTTAGATACTCCATTTATATATTTATAAATTTCTTGAAAGTATAAATTTTCAATATTCTAAACACCATATTTAATGCATTTATTTATTTATTTATTTATTTTGACACCATACTTTTTTGCAAAAATAAAAACCCTTGGCAAAATATTTTTTATGTATAGAAAAAATGTTTCAATAATAGTGGAAGCATAATAAAAATACAAATGAAATAGAAAAGAGTTTTCTACATAATAATTTTTCTAAAAAAACTTATTTAGTAATTTAAAAAATTAAGTTTTTTTTGTTTTCATGATAGATGTGACTCTTGAACATTTAAAAACTTATATACATTACTTTATATGTTTATTGAATTGTAATTTTTTATTTAGAAATTTAAAATATCAATAAGCTTAGTATTTGTGACATTTAATTGGTTAACCACACAATGTAATATCTAGAATATTGCAAAACTATAAAATACTAAATATTGAAAATTTTTACATATTTTTGATGTCTTGTAAATAAACACATAAATGTTAATTTGATAAAAACAAATATAGAGAAAAGCAATAGATATATTTTTGAAGAAGAATTAGATTTAATAATGATGCACATGTGTTAAACATTATATAAATTTTATTTATGGAAAGTAGAAGAGAAGGATAAAATAGTGAGCACTCATAAACATTAATATAAAATAAAGCTTTGTTTTTTACAAATAATAACGTATAAGCCATATAATTAATAAACAATTTTTAAATGATAATAAATATTTAATGGTGGAAACATATTGGTAGAAAAGTTAGAAAATGAAGAGTTGTTAAAAAATGATTATATATAGTTGTGTCTTTTCATTTTCTTCACATTGAATATTATCTCATTTTAGTAACAATTAAATATTTCTTAGTATTACATAATGGAACTAGTTTTCTACCTCGTACTTCGCACGGGCTTGGGATGTGTTCACGTGTCTATTAAATAAGATTATCAGTCTTAGACTTTTTTGGCAAAATTATGTAACATTTTGAATACAAACTAAATATAGTTTTAAATAATTAAATATCATAAAATTTTGATTTATGAAAACAATATTTTAAATGGACACAATTTTTATAAATTTACACAATTTGCCGTCAAATTATAAAGCAATTTAACCAAAAATCTCAAATTGTTATTAAATGATATACTAATGAAAATTGATTTAACTTATGAAAAAATAAAATAAAATGCCAAATAAATTAAGGTGATGATAAATCATTAAAAAATACATACGCGGTATATGGTCATATGCCATGTGTTATACTTCAAGAAAAACAAATTAGTTTAATTTAATTTGTTGAAATGATATATAGCAAATTAAATAGCATTACAGATAAAACATTTGGATATAAAATACAATATATAGTTAGTAAATATATAGTTAATCAAATACAGTTATTTGGTAAAATAACAATATAAAATAAATAAATGGTGGATTGTTATATATATATATATATATATACATACATACATACATACATACAGATTTTGGTTCTGGTGAGAATGCAATTTTAGGATAGAAATGAGAATGAATCTGGTGCTTTAGATTGTGAGATCTAAGGGTCAAGATTTCATCAAAATTAGATGCACCAAAATAGTTGCATCACGTCAAAATGCACCATAAACCTTCAAAAATGCACTATCTCAAAATCTGAGTGCAGGATGCAATCTGAGCCACACGATGCATCAAATCCGACGGCTAGATTTTATTCTCATTTCTCTCCACAAGGTGCATTCTCACGGGAACCGGCCCCCATACATACATACATACATACACACACACACACACATATATATATATATATATATATATATATATATATATATATATAATGTTAGTTCTTTTTCATGCTTTGCATGGGCTCATATGTAATCTAATATTTGACATCTAAAAAATAAAATATTATCTATTTTAATTCTTTAATATGATATAAGAAGTTTATAAAAACCTAACAAAAATAAATATGCATTTATGACATCACTTGTGGTATCACATGTGGCATGATGTGCACACGTGATGTGAAAAGTTTTATACAAACTAAATGATCACTGAAAAAAGTAATAATGAAATAATTTATAATTAAAAAATTAAAATAAAAAATTTCAAATGAATCAATTAAGTAATGACACAAAATGAGAAAACACATATATGACATACAACGCGTATCATCTTACAACTCTAACTTTGTTTTGCTTAGTTTGTTGAAAAAAAATATACACCATATACTAAAATATACTCCGTAGTATGTAATACGATACAAAGTTTGAAATAATTTTGTATTTAATAAATATTTATATGTGATAAAAATGTTATAATACTGTTTTGAAAATTTAATAACAATAAATTTTCTT